CACTCACTCACTCACACACACACACACACACACACTCACTCACTCACTCACACACACACACACACACACACACACACACACACACTGTCCTGCTGCCACAAATATTCACTGCAGCACCAAATGTGGATTAATCCGCCACTGAAAGTAGTCCCCAACAGAAGCACTATTTAAAATTTATTTTAATAATTTATTCATAAAAACTACAGTGAGCAACTGTCTCATGGAATTATAGATATATATGTGTGAGCTGCAGATTTACTGTGTGTTCAGTAAGAACCAACAGGTTCAGCTGAGAGCCACAGACGGGGGGGGGGGACATCAGACAGATGGAATAGCACAGCGTTGGTCTTTGGGTCCACACATGCTCTGAATTATCATTTTAACAGTCAGTAGTAATGTGCAGTGAGTCTATAGTACAGTTTATTAGGTACACCTAGCTCAGTGACGTGTAAGGTTTATTTTCGTTTTGCTCGTCCTGCACGTTCTGACGTNCACACACACACACACACACACACACTCACTCACTCACACACACACACACACACACACACACACACACACTGTCCTGCTGCCACAAATATTCACTGCAGCACCAAATGTGGATTAATCCGCCACTGAAAGTAGTCCCCAACAGAAGCACTATTTAAAATTTATTTTAATAATTTATTCATAAAAACTACAGTGAGCAACTGTCTCATGGAATTATAGATATATATGTGTGAGCTGCAGATTTACTGTGTGTTCAGTAAGAACCAACAGGTTCAGCTGAGAGCCACAGACGGGGGGGGGGGACATCAGACAGATGGAATAGCACAGCGTTGGTCTTTGGGTCCACACATGCTCTGAATTATCATTTTAACAGTCAGTAGTAATGTGCAGTGAGTCTATAGTACAGTTTATTAGGTACACCTAGCTCAGTGACGTGTAAGGTTTATTTTCGTTTTGCTCGTCCTGCACGTTCTGACGTTCCGACGCTTGTTCCATCGTCTCTATGGTTACAACATAAATATATTTTTTAGCATTTTACAAAAAAAGGCCCGGTCGCCATTTTTTTCTACATTTTTGACATCGAAATCAAACAAGAATAACGATATTTTCAAGTCAATACACAATTGTTAAGACATTCCACACCTGTCCCAGGAAACTGAGCACGTTCTCAATGTCTAATAATCATTTTACACCAAGAAAACGCCAAGTATCAGTCAAAAATGTGTTTTCCTAACAGACCCACTAACATTCTATTAATGTTTTATCTTTATATTCAACAACTTACATTAATTTAGTGCTAGTGTTGAACTGAAACCACCTTTTTGGGAAGAAGAATAAATGCATCTGGCATAAAAGTAGAAGATGTCTTACCTGCAAAGGGTGTGATCCACTCGGGTCAGCAGGTGCTCCTCCATGGAGGGTCCATCCAGAGC